CTTGGTTTAGTCTTGGTTTAGTCTTGGTTTAGTCTTGGTTTAGACCTGGTTTAGACCTGGTTTAGTCCTGGTTTAGACCTGGTTTGGTCCTGGTTTGGTCCTGGTTTGGTCCTGGAGTTTTAGTTTAGAGTTTCTGAGGCGACTTTGAGCAGATCTTGAGTTTCCCACTGCAAAATAAAAATCATTTCTCCAGATAAAGCTGCACTGTGGGATCTTTCTGTTGAGGTTCCACCTTTTGCTCGTTGCCATGGAGACGTCATCGGTTTACCTGGAATGTTCCGCAGTGTGGCACGTACATCGGGTCTGTGGCTTCCTCTCGCGTTTGTGCAGAGATTTAGTTCTTTGGTCTGTGACAAAACAAAAGCCACAACACGTCACTTTTCTGATCTGCCCTCTGCTGTTTCCATGGAGACGCTTTGTTGGAATGTTCCACAGTCTGGCATTAAACTGAACCAACCAACATTTGTTCAGTTAAGGCTGTTTTTATACAGAGAGTCCGAAAAATGTGACGTCACTTCACAGGTCAAGAGGTTTGTCAAAAAAAAAAAAAAAAAAAAAGCTCAAATTTTCACAGAATCTTCAGAAACAGATGAAGATTTGGTTTGTGATGTTTTATTTTTTTTTAGAATCATTTAGTGTCTTGAATCTGCTGCTCAAACTCACCAAGACTGAAGCTTCAACACAACATCTGGACAGAACTTCAACAAAAATGTACCAACCATCAAACCGTCACTGGAGGAATCGGAGTTTCCTGAGACTTTCTGAGACTTGTTCTCCTCACAGACTCTTGTTTCTCTTGTTTCTCTTGTTTCTCTCCTGATGTTCATTTGGTCCAGATCCTTTAGTCCTGCAGAAGAAGATCTTTCCTCTTTACATTTTTGTTCCAAGTCCAAATTAGTTTTGTCCAGATGTTGTGTTGAAGCTTCAGTCTTGGTGAGTTTGAGCAGCAGATTCAAGACACTAAATCAGGGCCACGTCTGTAAACCCAGATGAAGCAGAGGTTTGATCGAGGGTCATAGACTGGAGCTCAGTACAGTCAATAACTGAAATATGTGCATGTTTAACACGTTAGAATGAGCCTCAGTCTTTATTCATGCCAACGTCCTTTAAACCACACAATAAATATTAAACATTTGCTTTATTAAGGTAGATTTTCAAAAAATATGCAGTAAAAAATTATATTTTAATAGATGCAAGGTAATTTGGGCCAATTCACCTGGAAGCCTGAGGGCCAAGAAAAATTTGTCTGAGGGCCACATTTGGCCCCCGGGCCACAGGTTGGACATGTCTGCACTAAATGATTCAGTTTCAGACTGAACAACTCAACCTGAAAATACAACAAAAATCAAACATCACCAATCAAATCTTCATCTGTTTCTAAACATTCTGTGAAAATTTAAAATCATTTCAACAAGAACTGACAGAATTCTTCTTGTCCTGTATATTTGTACTGTGAGCAGAGTCACCGCTCCACAGATCCGACCCGTCCGTTGGTTTTGTGGCTTCATCGTCTCTTGTTGGATCAGTTTAATGTGGTGCTGTATCTCCATGGAGACGAGCAGGTTCGTATGAAAGTTCCAGAGTGCAGCTTTAGTTGGAGAGTCGTGACTCGCTCTGGGCTCTGGACGTGTTTTTCTGTGAACGACTCAGACTGAACAAACATGAAGAAGAAGAAGAGATTCTTCCAAACTCTGAGACGAGTCCCAGCTCCTCCTGAACTCCACCTACAGGACGTTTCGACAGTTTTCCAGGGACACTCAGATGATGAGATGATGAGTGGAGGTGGACGGAGACGCTGCTTCTGAAGAACGTTTCATGTTTCTCTTTCATGTTCCTCAGAGTTTGTGACGGATCGGCTCTGTGGAACTCACGACCATGAGACCTGTACTTTTATTTCAAATCTGTTTGTGAAACTTTAGAATCCGCTGAGTTATTATTTATTAAACCATTTCACAGAATCTTATGTCTGAAGCTTTTTGGACTCATTTATTCTGATTTATCTAAAATCTGAGCGTGAGGCAGGTTCACGTCTGTGACCCGACGGACTCAGACTCAGACGTTTCTCCAAACTCTTCTCCTCACATCTTTCTCCGTGTTCTAATCAGGTTGAGCTGATTTGTGCTGTTCAAACAAAACTCAGAAGTTGTTTTGTTCCATTTTCAGGATATTCAGTCTTTACTACAAACGTTCAAAGGACGACCACAAAATGTTCAAAATGAGACTGAAACCAGAACATCATGTTGGGTTTTATAAATCATGTTACTGTTCAGGAAAGGTTCTTTTCTGTGACTTTTGTTTTACTCTCGAGGTTCTGTTTTTGTATCGATCAGGATCAGATTTTCAATATTTTTGAAGCGAATCAGAATTTCTATATTTTAGGAGAAAAAACAGACGTTTCACTTTGGAAGACTTTACATTTATTCAAAATAAAACATTTGCATCAACATTTAACTTCACTTCGTCTTCAGAGAATCAAACCTCGTCCTGCAGAATCACATCACGAACAAGAAATAAAAAAAAATATAAAAAAATGGATTCACCTCAAGATTTATTTTAACCAATTAAAGACGAGGGAAAAAAATCACCAAAATAAAACTGAGTTTTGAAACAGGCAGAGTCCAGAACAGAAACAAATGTGCCACAGGACAAAGGTAAGACTCAGATTTTAGTCCCGCTCCAGTCCCGTTCCAGTCCCGCTCTAGTCCCGCTCCAGTCCCGTTCTAGTCCCGCTCCAGTCCCGCTCCAGTCCCGCTCCAGTCCCGCTCCAGTCCCGCTCCAGTCCCGCTCCAGTCCGGCTCTAGTCCGCTCTAGTCCCGCTCTAGTCCCGCTCTAGTCCCGCTCCAGTCCCGCTCCAGTCCCGTTCTAGTCCGGCTCTAGTCCCGCTCCAGTCCCGTTCTAGTCCCGCTCTAGTCCGTTCTAGTCCGCTCCAGTCCCGCTCCAGTCCCGCTCCAGTCCCGCTCCAGTCCCGCTCCAGTCCGCTCCAGTCCCGCTCCGTCCCGCTCTAGTCCCGCTCTAGTCCGCTCTAGTCCCGTTCTAGTCCGCTCTAGTCCCGCTCCAGTCCCGCTCCAGTCCCGCTCTAGTCCCTCTAGTCCCGTTCTAGTCCCGTTCTAGTCCCGCTCCAGTCCCGCTCCAGTCCCGCTCCAGTCCCGCTCCAGTCCCGCTCTAGTCCCGTTCTAGTCCCGTTCTAGTCCGGCTCTAGTCCCGCTCTAGTCCCGCTCTAGTCCCGTTCTAGTCCCGTTCTAGTCCCGCTCCAGTCCCGCTCTAGTCCCGCTCTAGTCCCGCTCTAGTCCCGCTCCAGTCCCGCTCTAGTCCCGTTCTAGTCCCGCTCTAGTCCCGTTCTAGTCCCGCTCTAGTCCCGTTCTAGTCCGCTCCAGTCCCGCTCTAGTCCCGTTCTAGTCCCGTTCTAGTCCGTTCTAGTCCCCGTTCTCCAGTCCCGCTCCAGTCCCGCTCCAGTCCCGCTCTAGTCCCGTTCTAGTCCCGTTCTAGTCTAGTCCCGCTCCAGTCCCGCTCAGTCCCGTTCTAGTCCGCTCTAGTCCCGCTCTAGTCCCGCTCTAGTCCCGTTCTAGTCCGTTCTAAGTCCCGCTCCAGTCCCGCTCTAGTCCCGTTCTAGTCCCTCCAGTCCCGCTCCCGCTCTAGTCCGTTCTAGTCCCGTCCTAGTCCCGTTCTAGTCCCGCTCTAGTCCCGCTCTAGTCCCGCTCTAGTCCCGTTCTAGTCCCGCTCCAGTCCCGTTCTCTAGTCCGCTCTAGTCCGTTCTAGTCCGTTCTAGTCCCGCTCCAGTCCCGTTCTAGTCCCGCTCCAGTCCCGTTCTAGTCCCGCTCCAGTCCCGCTCTAGTCCCGCTCCAGTCCCGTTCTAGTCCCGTTCTAGTCCCGCTCCAGTCCCGTTCTAGTCCCGTTCTAGTCCCGTTCTAGTCCCGCTCCAGTCCCGCTCCAGTCCCGTTTCTAGTCCGCTCTAGTCCGTTCTAGTCCCGCTCTCAGTCCCGCTCCAGTCCCGCTCCTAGTCCCGTTCTAGTCCCTCTAGTCCGCTCCAGTCCCGTTCTAGTCCCGCTCTAGTCCCGCTCTAGTCCCGTTCTAGTCCCGCTCCAGTCCCGTTCTAGTCCCGCTCTAGTCCCTCTAGTCCGTTCTAGTCCCGCTCCAGTCCCGCTCCAGTCCCGCTCTAGTCCCGCTCCAGTCCCGTTCTAGTCCCGCTCTAGTCCCGCAGTCCCGCTCCAGTCCCGCTCCCGTTCTAGTCCCGTTCTAGTCCGCTCCAGTCCCGCTCTAGTCCGCCTAGTCCCGCTCTAGTCCCGTTCTAGTCCGCTCTAGTCCGCTCCAGTCCCGCTCCAGTCCGCTCTAGTCCCGCTCTAGTCCCGCTCTAGTCAGTCCCCCGTCCCGTTCTAGTCCCCGCTCTAGTCCGTTCCAGTCCCGCTCCAGTCCCGCTCAGTCCCGTTCTAGTCCCGCAGTCCGCTCCAGTCCCGTTCTAGTCCCCAGTCCCCTAGTCCGCTCTAGTCCCGCTAGTCCCGCTCCAGTCGCTCCAGTCCCGCTCTAGTCCCGCTCTAGTCTAGTCCCGCTCTAGTCCCGCTCTCTAGTCCCGCTCCAGTCCCGCTCTAGTCCGCTCTAGTCCCGTCCCGCTCCAGTCCCGCTCCAGTCCCGCTCTAGTCCCGTTCTAGTCCGTCCAGTCCCGCTCCAGTCCCGCTCTCAGTCCCGCTCTAGTCCCCCTAGTCCCGCTCTAGTCCGTCCCGCTCTAGTCCCCGTCTAGTCCCGTCCAGTCCCTCCAGTCCCGCTAGTCCCGCTCTAGTCCCCGTCCGCTCTAGTCCCGCTAGTCCGCTCCAGTCCCGCTCTAGTCCGCTCTAGTCCCGCAGTCCCGCTCAGTCCCGCTCTAGTCCCGTCCGTCTAGTCCGCTCCAGTCCCGCTCCAGTCCCGCTCCAGTCCTCTAGTCCCGTCTAGTCCCGCTCAGTCCCGTTCTAGTCCCGCTCCAGTCCGCTCTAGTCCCGCCTAGTCCCGCTCTAGTCTCCGTCTAGTCCGCTCTAGTCCCGCTCTAGTCCCGCTCCAGTCCCGCTCTAGTCCCGGCTGCGTCCGATGGGGCAGGAGACCCCGGTGCCCCCGAGCCCACAGTACCCGTCCGGGTTCTTGCTCAGATATTGTTGGTGATAATCCTCGGCGTAGTAAAACGTCTGCCCCTCTGAGATCTCGGTGGTGATGGGGCCGTATCCCTCCGCCGTCAGCACCTGCACAAAAACAGATCCTTTCATAAAGACGCACTACGGAACTTTCTGTCCTGGTCTCCTCTCGGGTTCTTCCACAGTTTAAACTTCAGTCGCTCTGGGATCTGCTCTAAACCGAACGGACCGAGACTCAAAAACACCTGGTCTCGGTCCAAACTCTGGTCCCTGTGGAGACGCCACCTCAGGTCCAACTGTTCCAGATGCATCATGGGAGGGAGACTCATGATGTTATTTCCTGTTTGTGGTGAGTGAAGAAGACGAGGGACGAAGCTCAAACGAGCTCCGAGTCACGAGGGACTGAAGGAACCAGAGCTGATGTAACGAGGCTCTGACAGGACGACTCAGACCTGCACCTGATACTGACAGGTCCACCAGGTCCACCAGGTCCACCAGCTCCACCAGGTCCACCAGGTCCACCAGCTCCACCAGCTCCACCAGGTCCACCAGGTCCACCAGGTCGCCCCTGAGTCTCGTGCAGAGGAACCTGCTGTGCTCAGGAGCCTCGGAGAAACGTCAGTGGGACCAGGTTTGGTTTGAGGTGAATCCAACTAAAGAAGTGAAAGAACCTGAAAGAATCTGTGTGTCAGGTCCCTCCCCGTGTGTGTGTCAGGTCCCTCTGTGTGTGTGTCAGGTCCTCCCTGTGTGTGTGTCAGGTCCCTCTGTGTGTGTGTCAGGTCCCTCCCCGTGTGTGTGTCAGGTCCCTCCCCGTGTGTGTCAGGTCCCTCCCCGTGTGTGTCAGGTCCCTCGTGTGTGTGTGTGTCAGGTCCCTCTGTGTGTGTGTCAGGTCCCTCCCCGTGTGTGTGTCAGGTCCCTCCCGTGTGTGGTCAGGTCCCTCCCGTGTGTGTCAGGTCCCTCCCCGTGTGTGTCAGGTCCCTCCCCCGTGTGTGTGTCAGGTCCCTCCCCGTGTGTGTGTCAGGTCCCTCCCCGTGTGTGTGTCAGGTCCTCCCCGTGTGTGTCAGGTCCCTCCGTGTGTGTGTCAGGTCCCTCCGTGTGTGTGTCAGGTCCCTCCGTGTGTGTGTCAGGTCCCTCCGTGTGTGTGTCAGGTCCCTCCCCGTGTGTGTCAGGTCCCTCCCCGTGTGTGTCAGGTCCCTCCCCGTGTGTGTGTCAGGTCCCTCCCCGTGTGTGTGTCAGGTCCCTCCGTGTGTGTGTCAGGTCCCTCCCGTGTGTGTGTCAGGTCCAGGTCCCTGTGTGTGTGTCAGGTCCCTCCGTGTGTGTGTCAGGTCCCTCCGTGTGTGTGTCAGGTCCCTCCGTGTGTGTGTCAGGTCCCGTCCCCGTGTGTGTCAGGTCCCTCCGTGTGGTCCCTCCCGTGTGTGTCAGGTCCCTCCGTGTGTGTGTGTCAGGTCCCTCGTGTGTGTGTCAGGTCCCCGTGTGTGTGTCAGGTCCCTCGGTGTGTGTGTCAGGTCCTCGGTGTGTGTGTCAGGTCCCTCCCCGTGTGTGTCAGGTCCCTCGTGTGTGTGTCAGGTCCCTCCGTGTGTGTGTCAGGTCCCTCCGTGTGTGTGTCAGGTCCCTCCCCGTGTGTGTGTCAGGTCCCTCTGTGTGTGTGTGACACAGATTCAGACTGGTTCAGGTGATTTGGAAAAGTGAGTTTAGAACAAACCAAGAACTGAAGACAGAGAAAAGAGGAAGAAGAGGAGAGAGAGAGAAGAGGGAGGAGGAGAGTAAGAGTAAGAGGGAGAGTAAGAGTAAGAGTAAGAGTGAGAGTAGAGTAAGTAGGGGGAGTAAGAGTAAGAGTAAGAGTAAGAGTAAGAGTAAGAGTAAGAGTAAGAGTAAGAGTAAGAGTAAGAGTAAGAGTAAAGACCTTCTGGTACTGTTCCTTGGAGCTCAGCGCCTCCTGAGTTTGTGGAGGAGACGAGGTGAAGATCACAGAACGATAAGCCGTCCCAAAGTCATTCCCCTGTCACACTGTCACATCCCTGCACACACAAACACACACACACCTGCCACACACACCTGTCACATCACACACACCTGCCACACCTGTCACACCTGTCACACCTGTGCCACACCTGTCACACCTGTCACACACACCTGTCACACCTGTCACACCTGCCACACCTGCCACACCTGCTGTCACACCTGTCACACCTGTCACACCTGTCACACCTGCCACACCTGTCACACACACACCTGTCACACACACCTGTCACACCTGCCACACATCACACCTGTCACACCTGCCACACCTGTCACACCTGTCACACCTGTCACACCTGTCACACCTGTCACACACCTGCACACTGTCACCTGCCACACCTGTCACACCTGCACACCTGTGCCACACCTGCCTGTCACACCTGCCACACCTGCCACACCTGTCACACCTGTCACACCTGTCACACCTGCCACACCTGCCACACCTGCCACGAAACAACACAAGAACAATCAGACGTCCACTTCCTCTGAGGGCGACGCTAACCTGTCGCACCTGTCGCACCTGTCTCACCTCAGGTTAAACCAGCTCCTCCTTTTGTTAGAGTTTAGGGGTTTAGAGGTTCAGATTAGGGATGGACGTGATCAGTCGATTAATCGATAATTGATCATTAAGAATTTCATGGATTCCGTTGATTTTAATGGACAAACTGAATGTATGTGTGTGTGTCGTGACCAAACAGGTGTGTACATGTGTCTCTGCATCAGAAGGAGCGACACACAAACAGTGGGTCAGTCTGTAACGAACCGAAGCACAAATGTGGATTTAACCAGGATTTGTAGAAGAAATTCCACACTTTCCGTTGCGTTGGGACAAGTGTGAGTCCATGTGCACAGTGGATAAAGCAGCACATATGTTTCTGTGTCCAGTGGGAAAAAGTTTTTCCAGGTGAGAGTCGCTCAATGTGGATGACGAGGCCCCGCCCCCCTCCCCCCGTACGCTGTCCTGGTTTTGACAAACACAAATCTGGTCACACTGACCTGTATTCACCTGAGTCATGTCTTTTAATCCAACACAAGTTGAACCACATCAGCGACACAAGAGCTGGAGTTTTATCTTCACTTAGTTTATGTAAATTAGTGATGTGGTTTTAAGTTTTGTTTCTGTGAGATTTGAACAAAACTGAATTAAACACATTATAATGTCAAACAGCTGATGTGGATCTAGAGTCGTTATGTTTATATGTCGTAAAGTTGAATTTATTGATGCAGATTAGTGCAGATAGTAATAATAATGATGATCATTTTAATAGAAAAACCTTCATGATTCATCGATAATCGATTGTTAATTCTTCCGACGATCGATTAAGAACATTTCATCAAATGCCCGTCACTAGTTTAGGGTTCAGGGGTTCAGGGTTCAGGTGTTTAGGGTTTATGTTCTCACCCTGCGTGGGGTCGTGGTTTTCCCAGAACACTTTGAGGAGTCCAGAGAAGCTGATTTTCTCGGGGTAAAAGACGACGCGGACGACCTCAGCGTGACCCGTCCGACCTGGAAAACAACAAACCACCGAGGGTCAGAAACTTATACTAGAACATTAAAAAAACACATTTTACCTTAAACCTGCTCCTACAGCCTCTGTGTCTGACCTTTGACCTCTGACCTCTGACCCTGTGGATCCTTCTGTTCTGTGACTTTTTAAATCTCAATATTGATCTGAAAACATTTCATAAACAAACAAAAGCGACGCCGACTTCAGAGTCGGGAAACTGTGGAGTCCAATTTCAGCACGTTTCTGTTTATGGTCACAGTTTTATAAGACTCAAAGTTTTTTACAACAAGACCGTGGGTTAAGTGTCTTGCCCAAGGACACGACAGCAGTGTTCATCTGTGGAGCTGGAATCAAACCAACAACCTGTGGGTCTGTGGATGTTTACATTGAGAGTGAGATTTAAACCGACGACCTCCAGCTCAGCGTCAGTGAACATGTGAGAGGGAAGAAAGGAGAATAAAACTCCTCAAACATGAAACGACGGAGAGAAAGAATCTGAGGAGAACAGTTTAAAGAACAGATCGGATTTAAACAACTAAAGTGGAAAATGTTTCTGAAAAGTGTTTTTGTTTTGATTCAGACCTGGAGACGAGAACACGAGAGGAAACACACGTTTGTTTTTCCGTCTGAGCCTCACCTGTGCACACCTCCCTGTAGGTGGGGTGGGGCGTGTATCCTCCGGCGTAGCCCACCTGAGTCGAGTACACGCCCTTCTGCCTCCAGAACTTACGCTCCGCCCCCCAGAAACAGCCCATGCCTGAAATCAAACACACCTTTGACTGGAAGAGCAGAAACTACACAGAAAAGTCCAGAGTGAAGCTTTTTACAGAACAGAGACAAAAACAGATTCTAAACAGACCACGGGAAATTATTTTCAACAAATAATCTGCAGATGGGAACTTTAAACTGACTCTGTGAGCTTCAACTCATGTTCTAATGTTCCTCCTAAAAACAAACCTGTTCTGAGTTGTGTTTTGTTTGACAAACCTTTTATTATCCGTCTGTTCACACAAAACACAACTCCAGGTTTGTTTGTGTTGAGGAAACGACTTTAGATCAGGAAATGTTGACATACGTTCCTCTGGATGTTAAAGACTCATGTTACAACATTTCCTCCTCTGTGTGTTTGGTTTCAATTTTAAAAATACAATCATGACAAAATAACAGGATTTTAATATTTGTAGATCTATAAATATTATTTGACAAAGTCATAGTAAATCTATGATGTAGAGTTTGTATTTGGAGAACTGGAGTACAAACCAAAGATGACGCTCTCTGTGCCCTCGGGGAACGGGGGAATCGTTCTGTTTCCGTTCACGTCGTGTTTGGCTGAAAAAAAAACACACAAATCAACACTGAGTGGAGTTAAAGAGGAGGTGTCTACAAAAACTCCTGCTCGTCACGTCAGGTCTGTGGAGCTGCTCTTATTTTCTTCTATTTATTTGTAAAAGGACAGCAGCACATAATGAACAGTAAAAATGTAAATATGTAAAGATTAAATCCAACGCGGCTCGTTTCATCTTCAGTCCCTTGGCAGGTTGGTGTTTTTATGGAGAATTGTGATTTACAGGCTGCTCACAGTGAGGAGGGTTTAAATAGAGCCTGGTAGAGATCACTAGATTACTCAAACATGCATGGATGAGTCTAAAACCTCCTCGGACATGTTTTTGTTGAGCAATAACGTCAGAACGTTTATAAAAAACACATCTATTTTGCATAATTAACCTCTTTCCCAACTACTTAAAGTTTAAACACAGTTATTAAAATGTTTTGTTCTGACAATAGAAACATCACAATACAATAAATCTTTTGTAAAATCACAAACTCGTTCATTTCGTTTGTTTCGTTATGTAGCGTTTGTAATCGCGCATGCGCACTGCCGGTGTCTGTGTAACATGTTATGCAAAAGTGTTCGCTCAGAATAACAACAACACCACGAGAAACGTGCTTTAATCCGAAATAAAAACTACATTTGTACATTTTCTCACATTATTATAAAAGCTCAAGTCTCTAAAGACTCTTGTTCCAGTGAAAACACCGACATGTGTCAGCGGAGTTTACGATAATAAAAGTTCTAGCAGCGGAGCTAACATGCTAAAGCTACAGAACCGGGCGGTACCGGACACTGTCACGGGGCTCTGGGTCCGGCCCGGCAGCGCGCTCTCCGGGGACGGCATCTGACCCTTGGAGCCCATGTCTCCCATCCGACCGCTGACGAAGAACCGCCACAGGAGCCTGGTCCGCGGGGAGGAAGACACCGTGAAGCCCGGGGGAGGAGCCTCATCCGCGGGGAGGAAGACACCGTGAAGCCCGGGGGAGGAGCCGCGCCTGGAACTAGCGCACTTAGCTTAGCATTAGCTTAGCATTAGCCTGAGCTGCTCCGGTGGTTTTTGGTTTTACTCAAGTCTCTGAAGATAAAAAACGAGGCTAAATCAGAGTGACCAGAGTGACCAGAGTGACCAGACGTCCCTTTGACCCCGGGACAGTCCCAGTTTTGATCCTGTGTCTCTGTCCCTGCAGATTTATACAAAAAAACACTGATTTGTTCCAGTTATATTCAGAAATGTCCCAGTGTCTGTTTTGGACAAATCTGATCCTGGAACAGTAAAAAGTCATTTGTTTTGGTAAAATACAGAAAAGCTGCTTAAAAACGACCAAAACACAAAGAAAATGTGACGATACTGACTGATGTTTGTCGTGAACGGACACAGGGCAGAACAGGTTTTATAAATTACTCGATTCACAATTTAAATATTACAAATTATTAAAAAGAGTTTGGGGAAATGTTTGATATTTCCTGATAATGTTTGATAATCATTTAATTATAAATGTTTCATTGCGTTTTAATCTATGTTTGAATCAAATGAATTTAATCTAAAGTGTGTAATAGTCATTGTTCACTTTTTAATGTATTTAGAAGCTGGAGGCTTTTGGGGTTTTTTTCTTTTCCGGCACCTTTTTTTTTAATCCAGTCTGTGCTTCTTTTTTTTAATTTTTTTTATGTACTTACAAAATAAATAAATAAATAAATAAATAACCACCGCAAACCAACATTGTTCCAGTTTTTATTTTGAATTTCTGGTCACCTGTCTCCCAGGGGATGCTGGGTAATGTAGTCCTGAACCTTCTGCCTCGAGTCTCGAGTTTTATTTTAAAGCTCCTAATCAAATAAAACTGATTTATTTATCTAATTTTAAATAAAGTTAAACCAGTTTTAATCCAAGTAAATAGACCTAATATATAAACTATTTTATCATTTTATTATTTTAATAATCTGTCAATCTGACTCTAAAGAGATTTAATGTTTTGTTGTTGTGTTGTTCCTGTCACAATCAGATCTGGACTTGTGTTTGACTAAATCTTTATTATTTATCTGTTACATCTGCAAAACTCCAAACACTCTGTTCCACCTTGTGATGTCATCAAGTTCTCAGCTCCTTTTCCCTTTGGTTCAGTCGAGATCAAAACTCCAGGACTGAAATGATCCAGGTGATTCTAGTGAAGGTGAAGTGTGGAGTTTAAAAACACAGTGGAACACTTCCTGTATCACCACATGATGACATCACAAGGTGGAGCAGAGTGTTTTCTTGTGTTAAATGTGCAGGTTTGTGTGTGAAACATGTGAATGAAACAAAACACGAGTCCAGGAAACAACAACAGAACAGAGATTTTAAAAAAAACAATCATTTAAATATTTCGGTTTTAGTAAAAAAAAAAAAAAAATAGACCCGACGAATCCAATGTTAAAAACAAAAAACACAAAAAACAAACACAAATCAGATAAAACAAACAAACAGAAACAAAACCGACAGATTCACACTTGAACAACACAAAACTTGAAAAGAAAAAAATCCACACTCCTCCTCAACATCTCCACCTCTGTCCCTCTGTCCCTCTGTCCCTCTGTCCCTCTGTCCCTCTATCCCTCTGTCCCTCTGTCCCTCTATCCCTCTGTCCCTCTGTCCCTCTATCCCTCTGTCCCTCTGTCTCTCTGTCCCTCTGTCCCTCTGTCCCTCTGTCCCTCTGTCCTCTGTCCTCTGTCCTCTGTCCCTCTATCCTCTGTCCTCTATCCCTCTCTGTCCCTCTGTCCCTCTGTCTCTCTGTCCCTCTGTCCCTCTGTCCCTCTGTCCCTCTGTCCCTCTGTCCTCTGTCCTCTGTCCTCTGTCCTCTGTCCCTCTGTCCCTCTGTCCTCTGTCCTCTGTCCTCTGTCCCTCTGTCCCTCTGTGTCTCTGTCCCTCTGTCCCCTGTTCCTCTGTCCCTCTGTCCCTCTGTCCCCTGTCCCTCTGTCTGTCCCTCTGTCTCTATCCTCTGTCCCTCTGTCTCTCTGTCCCTCTGTCTGTCCTCTGTCTCCTCTGTCCCTCTGTCCCTCTGTCCCCCTCTGTCCCTCTCCCTCTGTCTGTCCTCTGTCCCTCTGTCCTCTCTGTCCCTCTGTCCCTCTGTCCCTCTGTCCCTCTGTCCCTCTGTCCCTCTGTCCCTCTGTCCCTCTGTCCCTCTGTCCCTCTGTCCCTCTGTCCCTCTGTCCCTCTGTCCCTCTGTCCTCTCTGTCCCTCTGTCCCTCTGTCCTCTGTCCCTCTGTCTCTATCCCTCTGTCCCTCTGTCCCTCTCCCTCTGTCTCTCTCCCCTCTGTCCCTCTGTCCCTCTGTCCCTCTGTCCCTCTGTCTCTCTGTCCCTCTGTCCCTCTGTCCCTCTGTCCCTCTGTCCCTCTGTCCCTCTGTCCCTCTGTCCCTCTGTCTCTCTGTCCTCTCTCTCTATCCCTCTGTCCTCTGTCCTCTGTCCCTCTGTCCCTCTGTCCTCTATCCTCTGTCCCTCTGTCTCCCTCTGTCCCTCTGTCCCTCTGTCCCTCTGTCCCTCTGTCCCTCTGTCCTCTGTCCCTCTGTCCCTCTGTCCCTCTGTCCTCTGTCTCTCTGTCCTCCCTCTGTCTGTCCTCTGTCCCCTCTGTCCCTCTGTCCCTCTATCCTCTGTCCTCTGTCCCTCTGTCCCTCTGTTCCTCTTGTCCTCTGTCCTCTGTCTCTGTCCCTCTGTCCCTCTGTCCCTCTGTCCTCTCCTCTGTCCCTCTGTCTCTGTCTCTGTCCCTCTGTCTGTCCCTCTGTCCCTCTGTCCCTCTGTCCCTCTCTGTCCTCTCTGTCCCTCTGTCCCTCTGTCCCCATGTCCCTCTGTCCCTCTGTCCCTCTGTCCCTCTGTCTCTCTGTCCCTCTGTCTCCCTCTGTCCCTCTGTCCTCTGTCCTCTGTCCTCTGTCTCTCTACTCCTCTGTCCCTCTGTCCCTCTGTCCCTCTGTCCCTCTGTCCCTCTGTCCCTCTGTCCCTCTGTCTCTCCCTCTGTCCCTCTGTCCCTCTGTCCCTCTGTCCCTCTGTCTCTCTCTGTCCCTCTGTCTCCCTCTGTCCCTCTGTCCCTCTGTCCCTCTGTCCCTCTGTCTGTCTCTCTGTCCCTCTGTCTGTCTCTCTGTCTCTGTCCTCTGTCCCTCTGTCCTCTGTCCCTCTGTCCCTCTGTCCCTCTGTCCCTCTGTCCCTCTGTCCTCTGTCCCTCTGTCCTCTGTCCTCTGTCCCTCTGTCCCTCTGTCCCTCTGTCCCTCTGTCCCTCTGTCCTCTCTGTCCCTCTGTCCCTCTGTCCCTCTGTCCCTCTGTCCCTCTGTCCCTCTGTCTGTCTCTATCCTCTCTCCTCTGTCCCTCTGTCCCTCTGTCCCTCTCTGTCTCTCTGTCCTCTGTCTCTCTGTCTGTCTCTGTCCTCTGTCCCTCTGTCCCTCTGTCCCTCTGTCCCTCTGTCCCTCTGTCCCTCTTCCCTCTATCCCTCTATCCCTCTGTCCCTCTGTCCCTCTGTCCCTCTGTCCCTCTATCCCTCTATCCCTCTGTCCCTCTGTCCCCTCTGGTCCTCTGTCCTCTGTCCTCTGTCCCTCTGTCCCTCTGTCTCTCTGTCTTCCCTCTGTCCCTCTGTCCCTCTGTCCTCTGTGTCCCTCTCCTCTCCCTCTATCCCTCTGTCCTCTGTGTCTCTGTCCTCTATCCCTCTATCCCTCTGTCCCTCTGTCCTCTGTCCTCTCTATCTGTCCCTCTGTCCCTCTGTCCCTCTGTCCCCTGTCCTCTGTCTCTCTGTCCCTCTGTCCTCTGTCCTCTGTCCTCTGTCCCTCTGTCCCTCTATCCCTCTATCCCTCTGTCCTCTGTGTCCCTCTGTCCCTCTGTCCCTCTATCCCTCTGTCCCTCTGTCCCTCTGTCCCTCTGTCCCTCTATCCCTCTATCCTCTATCCTCTGTCCCTCTGTCCCTCTGTCCCTCTGTCCCTCTGTCCCTCTATCCCCTCTGTCCCTCTGTCCCTCTGTCCCTCTGTCCCTCTGTCCTCTGTCCTCTGTCCCTCTGTCCCTCTATCCTCTGTCCCTCTGTCCCTCTGTCCTCTGTCCCTCTGTCCCTCTATCCTCTGTCCTCTGTCCTCTGTCCCTCTATCCCTCTATCCTCTGTCCCTCTGTCCCTCTGTCCCTCTATCTCTGTCTGTGTCTCTGTCCCTCTGTCCCTCTCTGTCCTCTGTCCCTCTGTCCTCTGTCCCTCTGTCCCTCTGTCCCTCTGTCCCTCTGTCCCTCTGTCCCTCTCCTCTGTCCTCTGTCCCTCTGTCCCTCTGTCCCTCTGTCCCTCTGTCCTCTCTCTCTGTCCTCTATGTCCCTCTGTCCCTCTGTCCCTCTGTCCTCTATCCTCTGTCCTCTGTCCCTCTGTCTCTCTGTCCCTCTATCCCTCTGTCCCTCTGTCCCTCTGTCCCTCTCTATCCCTCTGTCTCTCTATCCTCTCCCTCTGTCCCTCTGTCTGTCCTCTGTCCCTCTGTCCCTCTGTCCCTCTGTCCCTCTGTCCTCTATCCCTCTGTCTCTCTGTCTATCCTCTGTCTCCCTCTGTCCTCTCTGTCCCTCTGTCCCTCTGTCCTCTCTGTCCCTCTGTCCCTCTGTCCTCTGTCCCTCTGTCCCTCTGTCCCTCTGTCCCTCTGTCCCTCTGTCCCTCTGTCCCTCTGTCTGTCCTCTGTCCCCTCTGTCCCTCCCTCTGTCCCTCTGTCCCTCTGTCCCTCTATCCCTCTGTCCCTCTGTCCCTCTGTCCCTCTGTCCCTCTGTCCCTCTGTCCCTCTGTCCCTCTGTCCCTCTGTCCCTCTATCCCTCTGTCCCTCTGTCCCTCTGTCCCTCTATCCCTCTATCCCTCTGTCCCTCTGTCCCTCTGTCCCTCTGTCCCTCTGTCCCTCTGTCCTCTATCCCTCTTCCTCTGTCCTCTATCCCTCTATCCTCTGTCCCTCTCCTCTATCCTCTGTCCTCTGTCCTCCCTCTGTCCTCTGTCCCTCTGTCCTCTGTCCCTC